ACCATAGCCAGGGAAGTACCCCTGGCGCTCCTCCCCCTTCCTCCTTCCTTCCTCCTCCTTCCTCCCTCTAGTCCTTCTTCTTCCTCCCCAGCAGCACAGCTCCAGCCGAGCGCTGCTCCCTCCAGCGCTCCACCAGTGTGTCGCCAAACTTGCACACCGAAAAAGAGGCCGGGTCTTCCGCCCGGCCAGAAGATATAGCGGCCTGCTTGCCTCTTGGGCGGTGACTTCCAGGCCACTGGCCTTCCCAAGCAACTGGTACCTCCTCTTTTGGAAGGATCATCATTGCAGACTCTGATATTGCCCCTACAGGCCCTAGACTCAGACTGGTACCCGCTAGACCTAGCCTACACTACCGGCCTCTAAAAATGCCACTTTTGTCTTCCTCTGCTTGGCCTCCGGTACCTGCATATTTACCTCCCTACCGGGTGCGGTACCGGCCTACCCACACACGCACGCAGACTCAGCAGGCGGGGAACTCAGTAGGGCATTCAGTCTATGAGCAAAACTCAGAAATCAGCTGAGTGTTTCAGTCCAGGTTTGGACGGGTTATCACACTGCCCCCCCCTCAAGAGCGAGGTCCCTTTGAGCGAGTAACTCACTCTGAGTCCTCGACAAATGCATCGTAGGCGAGCAAGGCAAAGAGATTCCTGGAATACTCTGTCGCAGTGAGTCTTGCTGAGATCTTGGGTGTGGCGTTAGCAGCGATTTGTCGCTCGTAGGCTTTAACAACACGCGGTGCGCTGCATAGCAATTCCTGTTTGGAGATCTAGTACAGATCGTCTAGCGGGTGATACATGAAATGAACCTGGTACTGTCTGTTTCTCCCCTCACCTACATGCTGCTTGATTCTATCTATCTCATGCCCGTCCTTGATTGCGCGAGGGATCATATCTTCGCGGTAATCGAATGTCTCGGCGTCACGGTGGAGATTCAGTTTAGATGCATGAAACACGGGATATGTGCGCAGGTGAGCTGGCACGTCTACAATGTACGAAGGGCCAAAGTGATCTTCCCCAATTACATCCAAAACTTCCCAAGGCCCGTAGTAGAGTGGGAGGAGTTTGCACGAGACTCCCTCCTCCTCTGAGAATTCAGACATCTTCACCCAAACATAGCTTCCTACCTGAATCTCCGATGGTTTGCGCTTTTTGTTCGCCTGGTGGATCATGGCATGCTGTCGCTTGGTCATAGCTGCAACAGCAACTTGAGCAAGCGATCATACTTAGCCCTGAAGCCGGGTCTGCCGGGTGTTAAGCCAACTGGCTGCTCAGGGAATAAGTAGGAGAGCGGATTACGAATCTGCCACCTGTAGTGCAGCATGTTGGGTGTCGTGGCGGTGGCAGAATGGACGGAGTTGTTATATAACCCCTTAACAGAATACAACTCCTCATCCCATGTCTCCTGGTCCGGAATAATCAACGCGCGGAGAAGTTGGAAAGCAGTCTGGTTGATCTCCTCAGCCAAACCGTTGGCTTCGGGGTGTCGGCCAGATGTCATGCACAGGTCGATTCCTAGGTGGGATGTGAAGTCCTTCCATTCAGTGCTAATAAAACGCAGATCCCGATCGCTCACAAGAGTCTTCGGGGTTCCGAATTGCAGCAGGTATTTCTGCTGGAATTCGCGAATCACTAGATTTGTTGGGGCATGGGGCGGCAAAGGAATCAGATTGAGAAATTTTGAAAATCGGTCAACAATCACCATGACTTGTGAATACCCGTTCTTGCTTACCTTACCCATATCAGTGAAGTCGATGGAGACAAACTCCCCGGGACCATCAGGAATGGGTGGGGGTGTGAGTAGCCCCATGGGCTTTTCTCTGCAAGGTTTGATTCGTTGACAGACTTGACATTCAGCCACAAATTTCTCAGCAGTCCCTTTCATGCCAGGCCAATCAAACTGTCTCAGCAGGTTAGCGTACGTTTTTGCCATGCCGAAGTGCCCGCTCCGGCCATGAGCCAAGTCCAGAAAGAGTGTGCGGAGAGGCTCATGGTTGGGTACACACAAACGGTCATGGTTCCCGTAACGGCGAAAAATCAGTCCTCCATACTCGTGGAAATCAGGCTGACTACTAGGATCAGCCCGCAACTGCTCAAGGATGGAACTGAGTTCCGGATCCTTGGTTGTCTGCTCTACGAGCTCCTCCTTCAGTTTCTTCCGGAGTTCACAAGGCGAGTCATGTACTCAGGGTGGCAAGACAATGCGTCAGCGACTCGATTGTAACAACCCTTTTTGTGTCTGAGTTCAAAGTCGAAGATGTCAATCTCATGAAACCAGCGAAGCAAGGTAGGGGACAGAGTTTGCTGTTTGATCCACTTCAAGGTCTCATGATCTGTGAAGACTTTGAAGTGGCGTCCCGAAAGATAATGTTTTCAGTGATCCAACGCCATACGCAAAGTGTAAAGCTCGCGCATGTAGGTGGAAGTGGCTACTTTTACGCTGACATTCGTTTGCTGCAGGCCATCGCCGTCATCTTGTTGCAGCACTGCACCGATGCCATACTGACTTGCATCCGTAGTGACTACGAATGTCAGTTTGGGATCTGCAATGCGGAGTACCGGGTAACTTACCAAGGCTTCCTTGAGAGCTTGAAAAGCTTCCGTACACGCGGCATCCCAAGAATAAGACACATTCTTACTGGTTAGTCGAGACAATGGACGAGCAATGATGGAGAAACGGGGCACAAACTTCCGATAGTACGACGCGAGACCAATGAAAGAAGGCAATTCGCGAATGTTCGCAGGCTGAGGCCAATCGCGTATGACCTCAATCTTCGTTGCCTCAGGCTCTAGGCCTGCAGCAGACAACCGGTCCCCAAGATGGATGACGCTATTCTTCCCAAACTCAGATTTCTCCAAGTTGAGATGGAGCTGTGTCTTCTTGAGGATAGCGAGCACCTCCTCAAGATTCTTGAGGTGTTCCTCCATGGACTTGCTGAAGATCAGAATATCATCCAGGTACACTACCACAAACCGGCCAATCTGTTCGTGGAGGACCTTGTCCATGACGCTTTGGAACGTGGCTGGTGCGTTCGTAAGACCGAAGTGCATTATGGTGAACTCGTAAAGCCCGTCGCGCATTTTGAACGCAGTCTTATGCTGGTCCGCAGGATCGACTTCAATTTGGTGGTAGCCAGACTTGAGATCGATCTTGGAGAAGACCTTGCACCCACCTGCGGCATCAAGCAAGTCATCAATACGGGGCAATAGGTAAGCATTCTTTCTTCTGATGCAGTTTAGACCGCGATAGTCAATACACATGCGGAGTTTGCCTCCTTTCTTTGGCACAAACAACACGGGAGCACCAAATTCAGATTCACTTGGTTTGATCCAACCTTTGTCAATCATCTCAACCGATATGTCGCCGGAGTTCCTCCAACTCGCCAAGTCCCATACGGTACACGCAGCCCTTTGGAGGAACCGCACCCTCGACCAACTATGGTGTGTCGAACCGGTCGCCTGGGGACTCCATGTTGTTCGGCCAAGACTTCAGAAAACCGATCGAGGAGGGCTTGGATGTCTGATGGGATAGGTGGGGGTGGCGAATCAGCAAAGGGATCACCAAAGTCCGGTCGCAAGTCGCGTATAGAGACGACCGAATCTGAAGTAGGATCATTTGGACTATTAGAGGGTAGAGAGGTAGAGGTGCTAGTAGTAGAAGTACTAGAAGTAGGATCATTAATCAAAGTAGTAGTGGTCCTAGCCGCAAAAGTAGAAGGCACATGAGCAGGACGAACAAAGGCAACATACAACTGTTCTTCCTTCTTGTGCTTGCGCCATTTCTTGCAGAACTGCATAGCATTTAGAAAAGTCACTGGGGATTCGTGCTTCTCATCCAAGAGGACAGGAAGCTCGTTCCCCTGAGCATCTTTGACCATGAAGAGTGATTCCTTCCACTTGGTCCATTCGCATTGGGACTGCAGCCAGCCCAAGCCGAGGACAGCGTCGAAGGGGCACTTGTCAAGGACAAAGAAGTCCAATGCGTGGGTGACAGTCTTACCTTTGTCAAAGGTAGTGATCACACCTTTGACTGCATGCGTAGAAGGGACAACTTCCTTGTTGCCAACTTGGGTCCGGCAAGGGTTCTGCAGGACCACTTGCTTCATCCCCAAGCCCACCTTGCGTATCCCATGCGGTGACATGAATTTAGTTGTAGCACCACAGTCAACCAGCACACGGAGATAGCGGTGGTTTATGAGAAGTTTAAAAAAGATAAACTTCACTGTCCCTTGGGCACGCTGCTGTTTCATCTCAGCCCAATGCTCCAAGTGGTAGTGGAAGTCAACCATCTCAGACTCCTCCCAAGGCTCGACATACAAGACATTACTTACCTCAGCCTTGTCTTCAGCAGATGGTTGGGCTTCAAGGGAGGGTTGTTGATCCTCAACAGAACCGGACTCCCTTACTGTAGAGTTTGCTGAGTCTGACTCTACGCCCGATTCTGGTTTCCCTGCAGCCTATAACAGTCCTGAACCTTATGATTGGGTTTTTGGCAATGCAGGCAAACCCCTTTCTTGAGTCTGCCCCACCAATCATTTTCAGTGATCCGGAGGTCAACCCAAGGTTTGGTAGTTGCGTCCTCCGGTTTAGGCGGGATCTTAACTCCTTTGGGAAGTTGGACATAACTTTTCCCGGCACTCCGATTCGGTCCCTTAGTGCTTGCAGTCTTTTTAAAGGCAGAAAATTTTTCTATTTCTTTATTTGCGTCGGACTCATGGGCTGAAGAACAAGTATCGGAGTCCTGTTCTTGGTCGTCACCAAGAGTGGGGCCATCCGCATCGGCTTCTTCTTCGGCCTCCAGCAGGTCATGCACAGCAAAACGGTTGCTGCCCTTGAACCGTTTGCCGCCCATGGGCTTTTTGCTGCCTGTCGTGCTAACGAGGTCCATAGCCTCCAGACTGACTACGTCCTTCATTAAGGCGAGCCAGTCAGTGTATGCAATGTAGTCCCTGCCCAGGCGACTAGTGAAGTTAGTTGGAACCGCGCCCTTAACCACATCCAAGCAAGATTGAACGGACAATTCCAAACCAGGAGTGGCAAACATCTTGCTTAGATAGTTCTGCAGGTTTTTCATGGAGCCATTCCACTTGCTGTGCTTTACTTTGTCAAGTTGAATCCTTGCTTTAGCAGCAACATGTGGGTCTTGGGCTTTAGCAGCAACATGTGGGTCTTGGTATTGTGAGATAAGGAGATCTTCGAGGGAGGCAACCAGGGTGGTCCTTAGCCATTTGGCTAGTGCAGCCTTTGGGAACCCAGCCCGTGTCGCTTGGACTTCTAGGAAGCCCCGTACGACTGGCTCGACATTCATTCCCATGATCACCGCCTGGTTCTCAGGTTGAGTTCCCAGGATCTCAAAGTAGGCCCTCATGGAGCCGATCCAGGACTCGATGTCTTCCTTGCTGTCGTACTTAGGCAGCATTTGTACCGCCTTCCGGTCCACGTAGGGACTGGCGTAGCTGGGACCAGCAGCAGCTGGCTCCCGTCTTGGGGCTGCAGCAGTTGCAGAAGTTCCAGCCTCATTGCTTGTTACAGCGACAGTGGAATCTGCACCTGCTGCAGGTCCCGAGGGGGTTGCCATCACACTCGAAGAGTAGGTAGAAGAAGATACAGTAAGGGGCAGAGGTAGTTTCGATTGCAGCTTCAGATCCATGAGGTAGAGGAAGAGGGTTGGCCACTTGGGCTTGTCACAGGTCAGCCACCTCCTTTGTCAAGTCATGGTACTTGCGGGTCATATCAGTTAGATCATCTTGAAGAGTCTGCAGCTTTGCAAAGACTTCTGCGATCTGAGTGGTATGGTCCTCAAGATTCCGGACATGAACAAAGGTTGTAAGTATGGACTGCAACTGTTCCCCACACTACACTTCAGTCAGTGAGGGGACAGTCTCTAGGAGGGCCACTTGCCTTCTCAGGAGGGTCTCCTTCCTCTCCTTCTTTGACTCCTGTTCTCTTTTAATTGCACTGTCTAAGAGTGCTTGCAGATAAGGTTTCTCAGCATCACTGGTTGCATCTAACAAGGTCCGTCATTGCGTTGAAGTTAGCTGGGCCATTTTCGGACTGTCAGTATGGACAGGTGGGTCGAAAAGTCGCCACTCAGCAAAAGAATCAATCAGACTCTCAAGAGGTTCACTCCCCCTCGCGCTTTGACGAACACTCCTTTTCCCAGTCTATGCCCACTTCAGACTATCGCTTTCCCTCTCTCCCTGTTCTCTCTCCCTCCTCTCTCTCTCTTCTTTCAGATTGTGAGTCTCCACGGGCATCGGAAATTAACTCAGAAAAACAGATAAAGCTCAGAGAAGAGAAGGTAGAACTCCTAGCCGGAGCGGCATTTCATTTGGCAGTAGAGAGCAGCAGAAGAAACAAAACAATCTCAGTGAGAGGTCTGATCCAGCAACCCAGTCTGATCAGACTGCATACGAGGTCCTCTCGAGTCCAGTCTGACCAGCTCCGTGTCCGTACAGCAAATCAGACAACGAGTAACTAAATGCAACAATGGACAATTGAGTGGTGTACAGGGTGCGAGTCAAGCCACGGACAGTGCACTCAGAAGACATGCGAAACGTCAAAGCCAAGATCCCCTCGGCAGTGGGTGTCCTAATCCAAGAAGAATGAACTCGTATCCCAGCCAAGAAGACAGGAGGTCAATGCCTAACCGATTTGGGTCCAGAGGCTCTCCTTGTTTGGGCCCGGTCCTGCTGGGTCCCAAGGGTCCCACGTAGGTCTCAACCAGGTCCCAACCAAGAGGAGTCCCTCCTGAACTTAGTTCAGTCTCTACTTTACTGAAAAACGAAATTTCAACTTCTGGCAGAACCTACAGACTACAACCGTTCAGTGATGAAAAGACAAAGCACTGTAGAAAGACTTGGCATGTATAACAAGATACTTCATTTTCCATCCATCAGGTGAGTAGGTAGATCACATGCATTCAGCCACACAATCAAGACCACAAAGGAGTAGGAAAAGAAACCCAGAGTACCCCAGCAGGACAATCAATACCATACACACATACATGGGCATCCCGTAGGTGCACGGCACTTACCTGAGTGGCCTTGAGCTTCGAGATGAAGAGAACTCACCCCCTTTCTCATGTGGTCCTCCTAACCCATCTACTCATGTGGTCCTCCTAACCCATCTAACGCTACCCCTACACTAGTGTCCTATCTCCTAGGAGGGTCTGACTCCAACACCCAAGTGCAACGCCGGATCCCCCGTCGATGCTGAAGAACAAAGTAGCAACTTGCAGTCCGTTAATGCAGAATGGCCGCTGACCCTCAAGCTCGCCTACTTGAGGGCAGCCCTTAAGTTGCCAAGTGTCTCCCTTGATTCAGATTCCAGGTGCGAGTGCCTCTCCCTGTCGCCTCTCTCAAATCGCCGCATGAAGTCTCCTCGAAATGTCTCGCCACCTCAATCTCACTCTCAAGCAACCTGGTTAGGTTCTATGTTGACCCCACATGACCTAACCAAATTGGGGCAACTTCCCTTAGCCACGCTGCCTCACTTCCCTCAACCAACCAACCCTAACCCTAAGTGTTGCCCTCAACCACTTAGGTTAGGGTTAGGGTAGCAAAGTCAACTCTCACCAGCAAGTAGAATCCGCTCTGATACCAATGTTATGACCCTGGCGAATTGCGAGATACACATCCACTGAAAAGTACAATGCCATCCAATTGCAGAAAGAAATGAATGAACTTGAGAGGAGAGAG